CGTGAAAATATTGCAGTGAAGGCAAATCTCTGCAGCAGCGCTAATTTTTGACCGACTAGGTGCTCAATTTATGTTTCGGCTTTGAAGTCAAAAAATGCAGTTTTGCGTCTGAAAGTCGCCGGTAGAAAAGAAAGTCAAAAGCATATAAAATTTTGACCAAAAATGTAAACAGCTCGAGCACTGTCAAAAAAATGTCCAATTTTGAACACAATCAAAGTATAGGTCCAGCGTTGTTTTGCAACTAAGTTAAAAGCAATTGACAAAAAAAACTCAAAAAACTCCGTCAGATATTGCATTCAGCACTAAGTATCACAAACAAAGTAATTTGATCCTATTTGCATGATCCATTGCAGTTGAACTAAAAACGATCTCAGTCTGTATTTTTACTATCCCCTATAATGAGTTAAATTTCACTTTTATTTAAGTTATTGCATCTTATCCATAAAGTTACTGAATACTTCGAATACAATTTAAGTTATATATTTTGGATCTTCCCACTTAGAACTTTAAATGAAAACCGTAAAAAACCCATGTGTCTAAGCTAAAGAGTTGTCAAAGAAAATAATTCATTTGTTAAAAATTACGGCTTTTTTAGCAACTTAAAGATTTTCATAAAATTTTGTGAACTTGAGTTTTACACTGACATTTTTGGCAGCCATGTAAAATCAACTTGTCATATAATTTTCATAAAGGAAATTGCACGAAAAGCTTTCTTCCCAAACACTTCCTTATAGCGTTGAATGATAAGCATGTTTCTTCTTTTTCTTTTTTTTATTCCACGCAATATCAGGTACAAAAATAACCATGGCAATGAGGATAATGATTTATCATATCAAAGTACTTTCAGCCCTGATTCAGTTGACACTAAAATTTTCAAAAAAATGTAGAGAAAAACCAGTTGGAAACTTTTGAGTTTTAATCTACTTTCGAGCGAGTTAATTTATCGAGCAATGATTGCTTCAAAAAAATTGTTAATTTAGATACGTTATGCTACTAATGTATAATTACTAAAAAGAAAATTACTTTTAGAAGCTTTATTTAGAGCGTACGTGGAAAGAAGCGCTGACTAAAAACTTACAAAAAAAATAAATGAGCTTCTGATTTTTACTTTCTTTATTGCTTTCTGATTTTAGTTTGGGCTCTTTTTCCTTTTTTCCCCACCTGCAAATTTTTATATTTGAAGTTACTGATCACTTTGTCCGATTGTCGTGCAGACGACTAATTAGGCCATAACAAGCATATTTGGTCATCATATTTAACCTTGTAAAACCACTCGTTAGACCATAAAGTTCATGTTTGAGTGAGGTGGGGGGAAAAGGAAAAAGAGCCTTAGTTCGAAAGTAAAAATCAAGTGTAGTAAACATAGTTTAACCCTGCGAGTTTAATCATTCAACTAAGAAACAATCGGAGCTGAAATCTATTTAGTTCATTCATAGAAGATTTTTCTCGCTTTCCAAATTTCAGCTACGAGACCCAAAAACAAGAGAACCACAGTTGAAGTTGCTGACACTCATCTGCTAATATCCAATTTAACCTTATATCGAAAATCGAGTTTCATTTACAATAGAGAGTCAAAATGATTGGCCTCACATGAAAAAAAAAGATATAATTTGACCCAATGAACAACACAGCAAAACAAACAAAGATAATTTGATCCAATTTATTTGTTCCTTTTAAGCTGAAGTAAAAACAATCTCAGTCTATAATATTACTGTCCACATTTATGATCAGTTCAATTTAACCACGAAAATCTCTGTAAGTTATTGCATTGCATCCATAAAGTTATTGAAGTATACTTTGAATACAATTAAGGTTAAAACCAAAATTATTATTGACATGTCTCAATTTGTACATATAACTTTTTTTAACTTAAAAACACTATGAACTTTGATAACTTCTAAGAACTTGTAAAGCTATATGTGTTTTAACTGATAACCACTATAAAAACCGATAAGTTTATAAGAACTTTGATAGCAAATTGTCACTTCATATCGATATCACAGAAATCCACAATACAAAATCAAGGCTGGGTTTTACATTTTTTGTACATTTAAGTACGTTTTTCAGTTTACGACAGCTGTCGAACACATTGTGTTGCTATGTTTATGGTTTTTTGATTGAAAAACCGTAATTAGTTCAAATGAAACGTAAGAAGAAAGGTTTTGGCAAGTTCTTGAGGTGTTTTCGACTGATCGTTGAACGGTTGTTTCAAGCGTAATTTTCGCTTTGGTCATCTTTGTTCGCAACACGGTTCTCTGTCTCGTCATAACTGTCGTTGACCAAGCACTGACTTTGTTGAAGCTGAAAACAAGCACCTCGACCAAGTTTGTGTTTCAAATTCCCCAGAATCTTAGTGAAATCGACTACATCGTTCACAACATTGAATGTTTTGTCCAAACAATGTTCTATAAGCTTCAAAAACATGCTTTTGGAAAAATCCAAATAAAAATCTTAAGCCTCAAAATTTTACAGTGATGATGGGTTTCACAAAATTTGCCAAAGAACAATTGAGAAAAGATGCTCTTATCAAATGATAAGTTTTATGACATTCCTGTAACTTTTAGCAACCTATGGTTTCCCGTGGCGGTAAAGTAACAAAATTTGCTTAAATGCCATTCTAAAAATAACGTTTTCATCGCAGTTTTGTAAAAAGAGTTGACAAAAACTTTAAAAAAATCAACCTAGAACAATTCGTTTTTGGGGCAGGATATTCATCTATTACTGTTATTAAAAATTTTTTATCTGATCAAACAGGGGCGGATCTAGGATTTTCTCGAGGGGGGGGGGCGGATTTTCAAAAAAAATTCGAAAATTTTGACGACCTTTTTTTTTTTAGATCGACCAAATTGATTTTTCGAGCTCTCCCAAAGCAGTGTTTTTTGCCTATTTTGGCTAAATTTTCTGCGCCGCAGGCAAGTTTTTGAAAAAACAGTCAAAAAAGCCGTTTTTGGGCACTTTTTGAAAAATTTTGACAAAAAAATCGCGTTTTATTTGGCGCGCGCTCCCCCTCAAAGTTAGTATATATTGGCGCCAAAGGCGCCTTTAGAAAAATTTTAGGGTCGGTCGGGCAAAAATGGATTTCTGAAAAAGTATCAAAGGGGGGACCCTTTGGGTCGGCAGGGGGTCGAATCCCTGAGGGGGGGGGGCGTCCGCCCCCCCGCCCCCCTTCTAAATCCGCCCCTGTGATCAAACATCAACCCTGTCATACCGTGTGGTATGATACACTCAAAAAACCGAATCCGAATGGATTGGTAAACTATAATTATCGGTTCGGAACTGAAATGACAAACGAAAAAATTACATAATATTTTTCGTAAATCTGCATATTAGTTGAATGGCAAATCAGGTGAAATTTTGATATATCATATGTTTTCAACGTATGGATGGTCTTTCCATTTTTTTGAAAAACATTTTTTTCAGCTTCACACAGGGCAGATTGATATACGAGCAGTATTGTTTATTGTTTAAAACGTTTATGTACTTCATAACTTATGTACTTCATTAAAGTTTTACACAATAATTATTTTTTTTTGTATTCAAACTAACAATCAGGTCATATTTGTCTAGATTCAAGAATTGAAGGAAGGCGATCAATGGCACAAAGCTGAATGCGGTGGTCGCGAAGGCTTGGTTCCAGCTACTTACATCAAAATGAAGGAATCAAATTAACACCAAGACAGCTAATTCTGAATTTTCCCAAAATCTCAAATTTAGTTTATGGGAAATGGGTTTTGGTGAAAAAAGACTTTTCTCAACCTATTTTGTTCATGCCTCTTTTAAAAAAGTTTTCACTACAATTAAGACTTCTCTAAAAATAAATTTGTGATGAAAAAGTACCCGTTGTCTGGACACAACCTGCAGATGAAAACTTCCGTGAAAATGTATCCTTTTTAGGCTCTAAACGTAATAGTTTGAGGGGGGGGGGGGGGGGGATGTCGGAGGGTTTCTAGAGGTTGGCCAATTCAGAAGGTGTTTCGATGTTAATTTGAATCTTATTAAAGCCTCACGAATGGTTCAAAGGGACGATAACACAAGAAGAAGCAGAACAGAATCTCAAGGACAAAATAGCGGGATCGTTTTTGGTTCGGCTTTCGGAAAGTACTCAAGGCGATTTCGAGTAAGTTTATTCGAAAAAATAGTCTATAGATCTTCTACAGTTCAAATTATTGTTCCGACTTTCGATACGAAGGTAACGGAATATTTGTGCTCGGGGTGGGTTTTTTTTCTTCAGAAAAGTTTCAACTTTTTAACTAGCCATTTTTGACGTGATTTTTTATATCGTTCGAAAGGTATTGTTGTCCTGAGGTTAAATTTCAAAAGATATTTCTCCTGTGATCTCTTTTTGAAAAAATATGGGGGTTTATAGATTGGCATTTTGGCCAATTTGGGACAATAAACGCGCGATATATTTCGCGCTTTTAACGCGGAAGCGGAGATTTATTCCGTTCTAGAAATCATTCCAAATTGGTTGAAATAAGCTTATTTGCCATAATTGATTGTTACTTGCAGCGAAATCTAATCTTTTGTACTTTATATGGCGTGTGGGGTGATGATTTTTAGAAAAAAAAACTTCAAATTTCAGAAAAAAAAATATTTTGTTTTATTACATTCAAATTTTTTTATGTTATTACTGCTCCATAAACCTTACAAGGCAGTCGGAGCATTCAGGGCTTCGCGCTGATACGAGCAGTCTTGTTAATCAACTGTTCAAGTTCCCATGACTAGAATTCACGCTCAAAAAGTATTTATGCTCGAACATAATGGATGTTCTGGGCCAAGCATGCTGGATTTTCTGGACTAACTTGCTATTTTTTTTGAAAAAATTTCCTTGCAACAAGAATTGAAAACGTATATTTTCTGGACTAACAAGTGGATTGTCTGGACTAATTTTCTTGCTGGAAGAATAAAAATCGTATTTTGGAACCAATTTTTAACATCTGAAACACCCTGTTTTCCTAGCCTCAATCTCATAGAAAAATTTTAACCTGTATTCATTTATAATAGAACGACGGGTGTTAAAAAATAGCTAAATTAGCTAATTTGAAAACCTGAGCGTCCAAAATTTTGTGTTCTTATAACATGTGTTACCGGAAAATCAAATCATTTCAAACTGAATTGAGGCCAGGAATAATTATGACACAACTAGACGCTAGATTAGTCCTTTCAAATTTACATAGCTTCAGGATAAAATCTTGATCAAGTTTAATCTCAATTGTTTTCTACAAGAGTTGAAAGGGAAGTCGAAGTTTTCAGGGTTTTGGCTTAAGATACGTGCAGCATTGCTATGGAATAACTTTGTTTCATTGTTACAATTGTTGTTATCATGAACAAATTTACTGCCTTTGAGATATGGAAAAGAAGTAAGTCCTGTCGCCTTGTTACCCTTAAAGGCAATTTTTTGCCAGTTTGCTGATGGAATAACTGCAATTGCAGACAAGCGTACGTTTCTCAAAAAATACACCATAATGGGGAGGCAAAAAAGCAAGTTCACTATAACAGTTTTTTGGCGCAAATGGGAACGAAGCAAAAGACAAGCCTTTGGGTAAAGTTAACAACAGTGGTGGTCGTCTAACGTTTCGCAGAACAACCCTAAATCAAGCCTACGAGCATCATCAAGAACAGACGATATCCCCTACATCCGTTTAGGGTGGATTGTGAGGCAGATTTTGCTAGTTGTGGTTTTTATAAGAGAATCAAAATTTTTAAGTTCTCTCAAGTGACAAAAAATCTGAAGTCGAAATCTGAAAAAATCTAAATTCTGAAGTCAAACATTCAAAACGAGCCAACTTGGGCTTGTTTTAACTCTCGTGATTTTGAAGAAACCTGATATCAGGGCAAAAGCAAAATAATGCTCTGGGTTGGCCTTCTTCCAGGCGAAATCACAGGCTTTTTCTGGTTCAGAAATGACAATCAACCAAGTCGTTCATCCTAACATGCTCAGGAGCGAAGTATTCACACTTGTGGAACACGACGCCAAGATATCAGGAAACTCTGATGCCAACAAGACGGCGCAACATGCCATACTACCCCCTGCAGTATTGCAGTACCTACAGATGGTTTTGTGACCACTTATCAGTCGTCATTCTCAAAAATCTTAGCCCGCCCAAAGTCCGAACCTCAAGCCCCTGGACTACTTGTTCTGGGGTTATGGTTGCGCTTCAAGTCATCGCGAAAAAATCCGGAGCTTTACCGAACTAATCAATAGTGTTGAAAATTTTTGTCGTATGGTCAAACGGGATCAAATTTAATCAGCTACTGCTTTAGTTCACGAACGCTTGACAAAAATTGCGGGAACAATTCCAGCACTTCTTAAAATGATTATTTATTGTGAATTATCAAATTTACACATCTCTTCTATATCGTCTTATGTTTTTTTGAAACTACTTCAATTCAGTTAGAAATGACAGCCTTTTCAAAACTGTCAAAGGTTTTGGATCTTTCTGCATATGAGGTGTATAATAGACGTAACTTTGTATCCTAAGTTTTTGAAAGAAAGTTCGAATTACAATTTTTTTTAGAAATCCAGAAGAGTTTTTTCGATGATGTCTTCCATAATTCCCAAGTTTGTCCTTTGTAGAGTCATAAGTTTTGACCTGTAAGTCTCAATTTGAGAAGAGAAAACGGAAAATATAATGTTTTAGGTTGTCTGTGAAATGTCCAAAGGGTGACGTTCAACACTTCAAGATACTCCGTGACGGAGGGGGAAAATATTTCCTGTGGATAGTCAAGTTCAATTCTATCAATGAGTTGATCGAGTATCATAGATCTTCAAGTGTCTCCCGAGAGGAAACTATTCTTCTCAAAGGTTAGAGGCTCATAAAATTTTTATCGTTCGAATAGACCAACTGACGGAAATAAAATTGAACTAAATTTTTTTCTGAAATTAGTTTGCACGGATCAAAAGCGTTCAAGGAACAAAATGCATAAACACCAGCATAAATTAATTTTTAGCAAACTATGAAGAGTTGAGGACGACACGATATCTGTAAAATTAGCAGGATAGACTTCTGCTCTTATTTGGATAGAATTTTTATATAGATAATTTAATCTAACTTTCTTTGTTTTCTGTATAGAAATTATTTATTTCTCATCAATCATAAGAAATAAACAATTTCTACAATGAACAAGACTGCTCAAATCAGGGCAAAACCCTGAATGTTCCGACTATCTTTTAAGGTCTATAGCAGTAAACACATGAAAAAATTAAATGTAATATAATAAAATTGAAATTTGAAAAAAAAAATTGCGATTTTTTATAAAAAACATCACCCCACACGCCATATTAAGTACAAAGTGATAAATTTTGCTCCTATTAACAAATCAATTAAGGCGTATAGGCTTCCTTGAACCAATTTGGAACGATTTCTAAGACGGATTAAATCTCCGCTTGCGCGTTAACAGCACGACATTTATCGCGCGTTAATTGTGCCAAATTGGCCAAAATGGCAATATTTAAACCCCCATAATTTTACGAAAAATGATCACAGGTGAAATATCTTTTCAAATTTAAGCTCAAGACAGCAAAACTTTTTGAATGATAAAAAAAAATTCCGTCAAAAATGGCTAGGTAAAATGTCAAAATTTGTCTGAAGATAAAAAACCCACTCCGATTACAAATATTCCGTTACTTTCGTATCAAAAGTCGGAACAACAATATTGTAAAATCACTTCACTGCTCAACCGCAACAAGATAAAATGGCAATCCTTAAAGCCCCATAACTTTACAAAAAATTATCACAGGTACAATATCTTTTTAAATTAAAGCCCAGGACAACAATGGCTTTAAAATGATATAATTTCCTTAATTTTCAAAGCTTGAAAAATGGCTAGTTAAAAAGTCGAAACTTGTCTGAAGGAAAAAACCCACCCGAGCACAAATATTCCGTTACTTTCGTTACAAAAGTCGGAACAAGACTGCTCGTATCAGGGCGAAGCCCTGATTGTTCCGACTGCGTTTTAAGGTTTATGGAGCAGTAATAAGATAAATGTCATTAATAATTTGAATGTAACAAAAAAAATGAAAACTTTTTTTTTCTAAATTTTGAAATTTTTTCTATGAAAATCATCCCCCCATGAGCCATATAAACTAGAAAAGAATAAACTTTGCTACTATTAACAAATCAATTATGACATATAATCCTTCTTGAATCAATTTAGAACAATTTCTAGAACGGACTGAATCTCGCTTACGCGTTAATAGCGCGAAATATATCGCGAGTTAATTGTCTCAAATTGGCCAAAATGGCAATATTTAAACCCCCATAATTTTACGAAAAATGATCACAGGTGAAATATCTTTTCAAATTTAAGCTCAAGACAGCAAAACTTTTTGAATGATTTAAAAAAATTCCGTCAAAAATGGCTAGGTAAAAAGTCAAAATTTGTCTGAAGACAAAAAACCCACCCCGATTACAAATATTCCGTTACTTTTGTATCGAAAGTGGGAACAACAATATTGTAAAATCACTTCACTGCTCAACCGCAACAAGATAAAAGTTTATTCTACATATTTTGGGTACACACAAAAGTCGTGGCAAAAAATGCAAATAAACACTTCTTATAACAAGTGTTACTTTGCATTAGATTTTTGTTCCGACTTTCGATACAAAAGTAACGGAATATTTGTGTTCGTGGTGCGTTTTTTTCTTCAGACTTATTTTGACTTTTTAATAGCCATTTTTGACGGAAATTTTTTGATATCATTCAAAAATTATTTTTGTCTTCAGTTTATATTTGAAAAGATATTTTACCTGTGATCATTTATCGTAAAGTTATGGGGTTTAAAAATTGCCTTTTTGGCCAATTTGGGACAATTATTGCGCGATATATTTCGCGCTATTAACGCGTAAACGTAGATTTAATCCGTCTTAGAAATCATTTTAAATTGGTTGACAGAAGCTTATCCGCAATCATTGATTTGTTACAACGAGGGAATCTAATCTTTTGTACTTTATATGGCGTGTTGGGGGATATTTTTTATAGAAAAAGTTTCAAATTTTAGTATTTTTTTGTTTTACTTTATTACATTTGATTTGTTAATTTATTTATGTTATGACTGTTCCATAAACCTTAAAAGGCAGTCGGATCATTCAGGGCTTCGCCCTGATACGAGCAGTCTTGTTACATATATTACAAGATCTCGTGACATGTGGACAAGCGGATGTTACAAAAACTCCTACCCGTACCCAGTGGGTTTTCTCTACAAGATCTGAAAATCTTTATTTTTTATATAAGTTAATTTTCAGATCTATGCTCGCTAATCTCCAAAACTGATCCAAATTCGTTAAATTAATAAGAGATATTTCTCGGCAAATAACTCGGTCAATAAATTAATTTCGGCATTATTTCTATTGATCTGAACATCATATAACATTTTTATCATCTGTTCGTTTTTGGTACAAATCGGCGCAAGCTAGCCACAAGAACCGGTCGGTAATGTCCTTGAGACAAATTGCTCTTTTTGGCGGTCAGTCTTAATCAAGGCTGAACCGAATTAGAACAAAAAAAAACAGTTAAAATAGGATGTAACCCCCGTTTTTAGTATATTAATACATACAGGTGGGCAGGTGGGGTACTCGAACCTACGTCGACTGTGATGTTACGTTACTTTGTCCTAGTCCGCTTGGCCAACTGTGCTTATTTTATATGCATCTATACTCTTGTTTTATGTGCATCTATACTCTACATTTGCATTGCAACATCCTCCCCCCCTGAAGAAGGAAGAACCGGAGCGAGCTTAACGGTCGGCCGCGTGACTTCACGGGTTGCGCTCCTGACAAGGGCGGATCGGGCGCAACCGTCCTGTCCGTAATTTAGCTTGACGATTCGGGCGAGAGGGTAGTACCCACGTGGACTATCGGGCTCAATCACCCACACGAGATCGCCTGTTTTAAGAGTGAAGTCAGAATGAGTGTGCCACTTGACACGCTTATTCAGCGAGGGAACATATTCTCGAAGCCAACGAGACCAAATCGCGTTATTATATGACTGCGCTCGCACGTACCTTTTCTTGTGATCAAAGTGTTCCCCGGGTAAAAGCGAAGGAAAGCTTGTGGCATGTTGTCCAAGCAAAAAATGGTTTGGGGTTAACGCTTCTAGCTCACTTGAATCGGTACTAACGGGAGTGATTGGCCTCGAATTCAAAGCCTGCTCGACTAAGCAGAGTGTTGATCCTAACACCTCTTCAGTGACTCGCCTACTGCCTAGGATATCGTACAGCACGCGCTTCACGCTTCGGACGAGGCGTTCCCAGGAGCCGCCATGATGGGGTGCGCCTGGCGGGTTAAATTTCCAAGTAACACCTTTGTGTGCAAAAATGGTCGGAGCCATGCCATTCCAGCTCTTGATGCAGGCAAGTAATTCCTTTTCCGCACCAACGAAATTCGTGCCGTTATCCGACCAGATTGTGCTTGGCGTGCCACGACGCGCAATGAACCGTTCAATGCCCATGACACGAGAACTGGTGTCCAGAGATGGTACAATCTCAAGGTGTACAGCCCTGGTGGTGAGGCAAGTAAAAAGAAATCCCCATCTTTTTTCAGTGCTTCTGCGAACCGGAACGTAAAGCGGTCCAAAGTAATCCACACCCGTATGATTGAAGGGTGGTTGCTTATATCCGAGACGTTCGACAGGTAAATCGGACATAATAGGCTGGATGGTACTTGCTTTGCGCTTACGGCATGTTACACATTGATTTTCGATAGACCGAAGTAGTCAACGCAACCCAAGTAATGCATATTTCATATTTAAAACGGAGCGCATGTAATCTAATCCTTGATGAAAATGCTTGTGGTGGAGGCTGCGGGCCAACAAACGAACTAGGGTATGTCGGGCGTCGAGTATTATTGGGTGCTTAGTATCAAACTCGGTATTCACTAAGCGCACAATCCGTCCGGTGGAACGAATGATAACAGCGGGATCGATAAATGGCGAGTATGTGGCAATTTTACTACTATTCTTAATAGGTTTGCCAGCGGTGAGTGTTTTTAACTCAACGGGGAAGGATTCCATCTGAGCAAGATGAATCAGTTTGCTTTCTGTAATATCAATTTCAGTTGGGTCGGTGATTTGTAAGTCCTTACCACGAAAATGCTTATGTGAAGGCAACATCCTCAACATAAAAGCGACTACTCGTTTATATCTTGTAAAGGAACTGAACCTTTCCCAATTGAACCCGTGATCGGGATGTTTGATGGACGTGACATCGGTGACGAAGGAAGATGATGTCTCCAAGCAATTATCAACATCACAAGAAGGACCTTTCAAACGAATTTTATTGATTACACGTTCGTCGGGTGTAAACGGCCAACCCAGCTGCTATCCTTGAGGGCTTCTGAAGAAATCCCCCGTGTACCGGTATCAGCTGGATTATCGCCGCTCAGAACATGGTGCCACTAATCATTAGTGGTCGATTCGAGGATTTCGCCGACACGATTAGCGACGAATACAGGTAATTTTTCAGTGGAGTTTAGCCACTGCAAAACTGTTGTACTATCTGTCCACATGTAGACATGATTAATAGAGACGGTAAGGACGGTCAGTATATCATCTTTTAGTCGTGTGGCGAGCAGAGCAGCTTGAATCTCTAGCTTTGGTATAGATAGCGCTTTCATGGGCGCAACGCGAGCTTTACCAAAGATGAAGGATATTTGAGTTTTATGCGAGTTCGAGCGTCGCGCACGCAAAAATCCAACAGCACAAAAAACGTCCTGCGAGCTATCACCGAACATGTGGAGCTCAATTTGCTCAACAGGCTCTGTGAAGTAATAACGGGGAATAGTCAATTGCCCTAAGAGAGGGAGACCG